GACGAAACAAACATCTGGTGGTGTCCCTTTGGTTATTATGTTCCATCAAAGGAACATTGGACAAGCAGTGCTGGTAGTCTTTCCCCCAGATAAAAGGTAGCTGGTTTGAACCCTCTTCTGTCCCAGCGTCGGGTGCAATAGCAAGTCTATTCAAAAGCTTCCCTCGTGAACTCTTCCCTCTCAGACTCTTTTTCTCCTAACCAGTGCTACGTATGTTGGCCACTACATGCTGTTCTCGTTTCTCCCTTTCCCCCGTGCGAAAGATTTCGTTTAAAGTTACTATCTGCATTCCCTTGTTATGCTGTAATAAGGTAGACAAAAAAACTTTCCTGCTTGGTGTCAAGATGGCTGAAGAGATGAGTGATTCTGGCTTTGTTAGGTTGACCCTGGTTTTCATTCTCCTCTCAGTATTGCAATGGAGTAGACTGGCGCCAGAAGCTTGATTCTCAGAGAGGGGCTGTGATTGCCACAGAGCTGAAAAACAACAGCTACAAATTGGCCCGTTGGACATGTTGTGCGCTGCTGGCTGGATCAGAATATCTTAAACTTGGGTAAGATAGGATTTTCACGCTGAACATCTTTCAGGTGCATTTTCCATTGTTTTAACACAGCGTTTGTCAAATTGAACCATTTGTAGAATGTGAGCAATCATAAAATTGTGTCACGTTTAGAGCGGGCAACGAGAGCCTCCAGTGAGCGTACCAGTGGTGACCCTGGCTTTTGTGTAAACTGCTTTCCCTTAGCATCTGATTGATATGCCACCCTGCCACCCATTGTGAGCTCTCTTGAAGAGACCTCACGCGTGAGAGAGGCAGGCAGCCTGTGCAGTTCTTGGCTTCTTCGCTGAGATTGCCAACAAGAGAAATAAATGCAAAGACTGTGCTACCTGTCAGGAATTTGTTTGAGATCCTCAGTGCATCGTTACTGAGAGATTGAGCTGTGGTGATATCTTGCTTCCACCCATTTTGAACTATCAGCTTAGAATAAGTGAGTCTGTCCCATTATTGATGGCCTGATTGAACTGCTTTGTGTGCTAGCTTCTTCCAGGCATGCAGTTTCCCAGGCATCTTGGTCAGAGTGGGTTTTCTGTGGTTCCTTTGCACAGCAGCAGCGCAGAGCAGGTGTAAGTCCCTTAGCTAGGACTCACTGATAGATTTCAAAACAGATGATGTGGCTGCTGCACTCTTTATTTTGCCTCTGTTGAAATGCTACCAGATTGCTAATGCAATGCATGTGGTGGGTTTTTTTAATACGTTTATTTATTTATTTATTTTTAGCTGGGGCTAGAGAGAAGCATTTGCTAATTCAATCCTGGTGCCACCACAGTTCTTCTGGATTCCACCCTTCGGATATGGGTCTGACTCAGTCGCGTCTGTTGAGTCCAAACTCCCTGCTAATCGTGCTATTGCAAAATTTTTATCTATGGGACTAATTCCTCTGTCTTTTATACCACCCATTCTGAGCTAGGGTAGTGGAAGGATTTCAGGTTACGTTACTGGCTGAGACATGGAAACAGCTTATAGCCAGGAGATCCTATCTGGTTTCAGTACTGCAGTATGAGGATGGTTCTTGTTGCTCAAACCAGAAAATATTTAATAGTGATCACACTGCTTCTCTTGGTGGTATTTTTATGTTGGCTGGGTTGAATCTCCTGATATTCCTTGGCTTGCTTGTCCCACTAGGTATGTATCCCGTTACCATGTGAAGGACTCTGCCCGACATGTGATCCTAGGCACACAACAGTTCAAGCCAAATGAGTTTGCCAGCCAGATTAACCTGAGCATAGAGAATGCCTGGGGCATCCTGCGATGTGTCATTGACATCTGCATGAAACTAGATGAGGGAAAGTACCTCATCCTCAAAGACCCCAACAAGCAAGTGATCCGTATCTACAGCTTGCCTGATGGCACTTTCAGCTCTGATGAAGATGAGGAAGATGAGGAGGAAGAAGAGGAAGAGGAAGGTTTGTAGTGTGCTTGATAGTTACTTTTCAGTGATTTGACTGATCTGGATGTGAAGGGTAGCGTAAGGTTAAAATTAAATCTAAGGTTCATATCTGACTAGTATAACGACAGATATGTAGCCCTGAGGATGGAAAAGATGTGTGTTAATGCCTTTTAGAAAATACTAAATTGGAAGGCCCAAGAAGGTAAGTGAAAAGAGCTGAGAGTTAGTACAGCTGTTGTGCCTCTATGTGGATACTGAGGAAGGACTTTTTTTTTTAAACAGGGTAGGGGGAAGGGACAGGTCCAGAGCACTGACGAGGAAAATGAAACTTGCCAAAGAGTGTTTCTTTAAATACTGCCACGATTTGATGTGTGCTGCTCATTAATTTCAGTTAATAGTGGATGCTGATTGCTGTTGACATCAGGTTATTTTTTACTGCAGTTCTAGAAATGGGAGTGAATACAAAATGAAGTGTTAAAAATGTGCAACCACCTAGCATGAGTGAGACAACTCCCGGAACGTTTCTTTAAAGTGAATACTGAGAAGTTGGTACATCTCTAGTCTGTCAGCCTGAGAGTTTGGGAGGAGAGGTCCCGATGTCTAACTGGACAACTGTTATCTTGCTCTTTGCTGTCTAAAAGAATTTATAATCCCTGATAAGTGCTGTTTAGGTGTTTTCTGTTCACTGTGGGAAACCATTTGACTTAAAACTCTTGCTCCTGTGATGTGGAAAAATAACTTTTTTTTAAAGTTGCTGCATAATTTGCTGAAGAATGTAAATTGCGTAATTCCAAATGACATTTATGGGGGCTTGACTAATAAACAGCTTTGCACTGGGTGAGGAGGCCAGGCAAGTTAAGGTGGGATGAATTGCCTTTAAATGTCTGACTACTTTTTGTTGTTGTTGTTGTCCTCTATGGCATTTTCTTGAGCAAAGGAAGAAGGTGTGGGTTTTGTGAGTGTAGATGGGAGTTTTCTGGGGTTTTGGGTTTTTTTGTTTCTCTTCTCTCCTAGCTGCGCTTGTTCAGTTATTGTTCCTCTTCTCTTTTTCAGAGGAAGAGAGCTGAACGCTGTGGTTGGATAATGGGGGTTGTAACATGACCCAGACAGTCATCCCTCTCCTGTGCTGCTGATGAGTGGGAGCACACCTCAATCTTTGCACCATGCTGTTCTGGAGATCTGGAAAAAAAAAAAAACAGAATAAAGTTACTCTGTTCTGTTAAAATGTGGTTTTGTGTTCTATAATGAGATTTGCTGTGTGCCAGCGAACCCACCTTACACTGGAAGGAAGGAAGGAAGGAAGGAAGGAACACATGGGGAGATTTTGGGGGTGAAAATAACCACGTGGAACAAAAAGAAATTACATGAGCTGAAGGTCTGGCTTAATGTGTAGCATCTGGCAGCTGTGCTCTCCCTTTTCCCCCATTACCCTCTTCAGAAGAGGGTGTACTCCCTTGCAGTAAAGAAGAGAGAGTTAAGGATTTTTTTTTTTTCCCTCTTTCTCTCCTTTTGGACTGAAGGTCTGGCTTAATGTGTAGCATCTGGCAGCTGTGCTCTCCCTTTTCCCCCATTACCCTCTTCAGAAGAGGGTGTACTCCCTTGCAGTAAAGAAGAGAGAGTTAAGGATTTTTTTTTTTTCCCTCTTTCTCTCGTTTTGGAAAAGCAATCTTGTGGCTGAAGCTGGAGCCGCCACAAGCAGCCCCTGGTACCCGTGCGTGCCCCCCGGCCCCTCTCCCTGCCCGGCCTTCCTCCGACGAGGCGCTCCCGCCCCGCTGCTGCAGGACTCCCCTGTTAGCGCGGGGCGAGGGCTCCTGGCCCTTTAAGTGCCCCCGCCCCTTCCCCCCGCCCTGGACACGTGGTTA